GCTAAGAGGGGATATCAGTGATCCAGGGAAAGGGAATTGGCAGTCTGAAGATCCTGAGATAGAAGGGGACAAAGTGAGCCTGGAGGGCTGAAAGATGGGTATATGGAAAGAAGGGAGATAGAGATGTGAGATGAGACTCGGTTATGTTAGAGCTTGAGCATATGTGGCTGTGGTTTTGTTACGTGAAGTCTCCTTTCCTTTAATTTTAAGAGATGAAGGCCTTGAACAAGTTGAGCGGAGGGTTGTTATATGATCACATTTGCATTTTGAAAGCATGTTCTTTGTTGAGACATGGTAACAGATTGGGGAATTAAGAGGTGGGCAAAATGGATGTAGTGGGAGGATTAGGGACTACTGTAGTCTGGTTAGGAAATGACAGCGTGGATCGCAGTGCTAGTATCAGAGGAGGAAAAGTGTGGACAATTGCTAGAAAACACTAAAAGCAGACACAGTGTATTTATTTTAGGGGTGGATAGGTGGTGTCTGATCAAGACTTTAGTTGAATATTGAGTTTGAGATGTCTTTGTGATGCTCAAGGGGGAAAAAAAAAACCCACATCATGTAGACAGAGAGATAACATTAACAAATTGTGGGGTATGACTGACATCTCTTGAGGATGAGTTAGGGTTAACGAGAGGGTCCTGGGTAGAGGAGGCTGCCTGTACAGAAATCAGAGAAGAGGATTGGAAATGTGGGGTAAAAATCAGGAGATTGTTGTAGTTATAAAAGCCAAAGGAGGAGAATGATTCAACAAAGAGGGAGAGGTCAAGAATTATGTAAAATTAAAAGTTAAAAATATCACTCAGAACAACTTTGATTATAAAGTTAGAATCCCATGTTTCTTATTTTTCAAAGCAATAATCCCTTGGAGTCCTTTTTTTTTTAAGTGAAAAATTACGTTTGAAATGTAAAACTGATTCTTGCTAAAATACAAGGGCTTCTGTCATTGAAATATTTTCATGAGTTTTAAGGATGTTACTTTTCCTATTGTACTTTGAAGGGTGATTCTCTGCCTCTTATAGTTTGTGATTTTTGTTTATGAGCTTATTTGAGTCTCGAGTTATTTTTGGTTTTTGCTTTTACTGTTAATGCAAGGTTTTGGAGCTTTGTTTCAGTGTTAACTTCTTGATTTGGAGATTCCTCATAAATTTAGACTATCGTGCGTGGTGCAAAGGTTAAGAGTTTACCTTTTTTTATGGGAGTCTTCTCTTGGGAAGAGAAACTTTGCCACTTCCATGCTGGTGTGTATGTTGTTTTTTTTTTTTATCTCTGAAAGGACAGTCTTTCCAAGGTCCCACCTTTAAGTACAATAAATACTTGTTTCTAGCATTTGGGAATTTCCCTTTTAAAATTAGCTCTGATACTTAATTATTCTCGGAGGGTGCTAGGATTTCTAGCATTAGCTTAGTTTTCCCTGTTACTGGAAAACAAACTTGTTGTTTTACTTTAAATTCTGATTTTAGAATCCTTTCCCCTAAGTCAGAAATTTGGGTATATTTTTCCATTGTCTTTATAGCATTTAGTGATTCCAACTGATTGATGCTCTTTTGGAGAAAATCTGTTTATTTTCTATGAATGATTATAAATTGCACTTTATCCTTAGCATTTTGAAATTTATTGAGGTGTGTATGAAGTTTTCTGTGTTTTTTCCTAACATCTCTGGGGCATAGTGATTCTTTTTTAAAGATAAACATAAAAACTGGATTTACCTTTAGATTTCTTTATTTTTCATATTACTTTTTTCCAGCTTTATTTAGATACAACTGATGAATAAAGTTGTATGTATTTAATGTGTGCTGCATGATTTGAGATATACATACATATTGTGAAATGATTGCCACAATTTAATTAACATATCCGTCACCTCACATAGTTCCTTTTATGTGTGAGAGAACTCTTAAGATTTCACCTCCTCAGCAAATTTCAAGTATACAATACAGTATTACTAACTACAGCCACCTTGCTGACGTTAGAACTTATTCATGTTATAACTGAAGTTTGTACCCTTTGATCTACCTCTCCCTATTTGTCCTGTCCCTTATACCCTGGCAGCCACCATTCTACTGTTTCTGAGTTAAACTTTTTTAAAGCTCACATATAAGTGATACCATATAGTATTTTTCTTTCTGGTTTATTTCACTTAGCATAAATGCCTTCCAGGCTCATACATGTTGTTAAAAATCACTAGTGGCAAGATTTCCTTCTGTTCTGTGGCTGAATAATATTCCATTATATATATAAAATTACATTTTCTTTATCCATTCCTCTATCAGCAGACACTTAGGTTTTCTTGGCTATTATGAATAATGCTGTAGTGAACATGGAAATCCTGGGTATCTCTTCTATATACTGACTTTTTCTCCTTTGGATATACAGTTGACCCTTGAACATCACAGGTTTGAACTACATGGGTCTACTTATACATGGATTTTTTTCAGTAATAAATACATTCCGCAGTTGATTGAATCCACAGATGCAGAGGAACTGCAGATGTGGAGGAACCAAGTATATGGAGGGCTGACTATAAGTCATGTGCAGATTTTCGATTGTGCAGAGGGCTGACACCCCTAATGCCCACATTGTTCAAGGGCCTCCTGTATGCCCAGAAATAGGATCATACGATAGTTCTATTTTTAAATTTTTTAAGGAATCTCCACACTGTTTTCCACAATGGCTGTGTAAATTTACATTCCCACCAACACTGTACTAGGGCTTCCCTTTTCTCCACATCCTTGATTTGTTTCCTATTGTCTTTTTGGTAATAGCCATCCTAACAGGTGTGAGGTGTAGCTCATTGTGGTTTTGATTTACATTTCTCTAATGATTAGTGATGTTGAGCACCTTTTCATGCACCTGTTGGCCATGTGTATATCTCTAGGAAAATGTCTTCAGGTTCTTTGACCCTTTTTTAATCAGATTTTTGTGGGTATTTTTTGTTTTAGCTATTGAGTGTGAATTCTTTATATGTTTTAGATATTAATTTCTTATTAGATACATGGTTTGCGAGCATTTTCTCTCATTCTATAGGTTGCCTTTTCATATTGTTTATTCTTTGCTGTGCACAAGCATTTTAGTTTTGATATAGTCCCACTTGTTTATTTTTATTTTTGTTGCCTTTGCTTTTGCTTCTTGTTTTTGGTGTCATATCCCCAAAAATCATTGCCAAGGCCAAGGTCAAGGAGATTTTTCTGTTTTTCTCTAGGAGTTTTATGGTTTCAGACTTACATTTAAGTCAGTAATCCATTTTGAGTTAATTTTTGTGTATGGTCTAAGATAAGGGTCCAGTTTCATCCTTTTTTATGTGGTACCAGTTTTTTGACACCATTTGTTGAAGAGACTGTTCTTTCCTCATTTGTTCTTGGTGCCTTTGTCAAAGGTTAGTTGACTGTAAAAGTGGGGTTTTATTTCTAGGCTCTGTATTCTGTTCCATGATCTGTCTTTTTATGCAGGTATTATGCTATAGCTTTGTAACATACTTTGAAATCAGCGAGTGTGATGCCTTCATTTTTGTTCTTCTTTCTCAAGATTACTTTGGCTCTTTAGGATTTGGGGGAGTTCTGTATGAATTTTGGGGTTACTTTTCTATTTTGTGGAAAATGCCATTGGAAGTTTTATAGGGATTGCATTGACTGTAGATTGCTTTGGGTATTATGGACATTTTAACAATATTACTTTCTCTAGTCCATGAGCATGGAATGTCTTCCCATTTGTTTGTGTCTTTTTTCATCAGTGTCTTAATTTTCAGTGTACAGACCTTTCACTGTTAAATTTATTCCTAAATATTTTATTGATTTTGATACTGTTGTAAATTGGATTACTTTCTTAATTTCTCTTTCAGATAGTTCATAGTGTATAGAAATGCAACTGACTTTGTAATGTTGATTTTTGTATCCTTCAACTGCATTAGTGAAATCTGGAGTTTACTGTATATAAGATCATGTCATCTGCAAACAGATAGTTTTAATTCTTCCTTCCCAATTTGGATGCCTTTTATTTCTTGTCTAATTGCTCAGGCTAGGACCTCAGTATTGTGTTGAACAGAAGGGTGAGAGTGGGCATCCTTGTTTTGCTTCTAATCTTAGACAAAAAGCTTTCAACTTTCCACCACTGAGTATGATGCTAGCTGTGGGCTTGTCATATATGGCTTTTACCATGTTGAGGTACATTTCTCCTGTACCTAATTTTTTAGTTTTTGTTGTGACAGGATGTTGAATTTTGTCAAATGCCTTTTCTGCTTCTGTTGAGATGATCATATGATTTTTATCCTTCATTCTGTTAATGATGTACCAAATTTATTAATTTTTGTATTTTGAACCATCCTTGACTCCCATGGATAAATTTCAGTTAATTATGATGTAAGATCCTTTTAATGTGCTGTTGAATTAGATTTGCTAGTATTTTCTTGAGGATTTTTGCATCTTTGTTCATCAGGGACACTGGTCTGTGATTTTCTTTTCTTGTTGTGTCCTTGTCTGACTTGAGTATCAAGGTAATGCTGGCCTTGTAAATGATTTTGGAATTGTTTCTTTAATTTTTTGGAAAAGTTTGAGAAGGGTTGGCATTAATTCAGTAGCCTCTGAGTACTTTAGAGACATTATATTGTGTATTTATCATAGCCACCTGTGCCCCAAGCAATGGCCAGATGTTAATTTGAGCATTACTAATTATTATTATTTTTTTTTTAGATTACACATATGAGTGATCTTATATGGTATTTTTCTTTCTCTTTCTGGCTTACTTCACTTAGAATGACATTCTCCAGATATTATTATTATTATTAATTTGAGTTTTGTAGACTTGTGTTTTGTGGGGCATGTTTTTGTTTTTAGTTATATTAGAGGTATAAGCTTATTTCTTGGAAAATAATCTGTTGCTCAGATTTGAGGAAAATTATTATAAAAGATGTATTTACATAGCCATAGAGTTAATGTAAAGACATTTGTATTTATAATATTAGAAAGATACAGCTATTTCTTCCTAGTAAGCAAAGTTTTATAACATTTCTTCTTTTTCCTGTTTTCTCTAGGTTTAACTATAGATCAACACATCACCTTGCGTCCCATGGGTTCTATGAATTTTTAAATTGGTTTGATGAAAGAGCGTGGTATCCACTAGGAAGAATAGTAGGTGGTACTGTAAGTATATTTGCAACTACTTATGTTAATCTTAAAATCTTTCAGTTATTTGAGTAAATCATTAATCACTAAGGTGATGGCGATTCTTGAAAGCTTTGTATAGTTACCAAATACATTTTTCTGTGCCTGATTATCTAGTATTTAGTTTTCTACACCTCTTTTCTTGACACTCTTCTTCTCACCCCTCTACCTGTTTTTGGCTTATCTCATACTAGCCGCTACTTCTGTCAAGGAGGCTAGGAGGAGGATCTCTTGTCACAGTATTAAGTTCAGGTTATTTGTGTTTTTGTTTTGTTCTGTAGTAACTTTATAGAAAAAAAAAACTGGGGGAAGGAAATAGAAATGTAGAAGAATCAGGTAATTCTAATTTTCCAGTTCCCAAATCTGTCTTAAATTACTCCAGGTAATCGAGTGTTGATCACAGTTCATGGGGAATTATAATGTCCGGAAGATGACATAAGGGAAGATGTTTTCAGGATTTGGGATGTAAGAAGAATACTGAAGAGAAAGTGAAAGACGAGATACCTATTGGGGAAATATGTTTAGTATTTTTTTCTTGATCAATTTTGGCAGAGATTTATCAATTTTAGATTTCTTAACCTGAAGAAACTTTGACTTTGTTGATTATCTCTATTAACTAATGGTCTTTTGTTGTGTTAATTTCAGTTTATTTCCTCCTCCTTTCTTGAGTTTATTTTGATGTTTTTATCTGACTTCCTGATAGTTGTTGAATAATTTTCAACTTTTCTTTGTTACAATTCATTTTTGAAGCTATGGATTTCCAAATAATCTTTGTTTTAGCTATATTGCGTAAGTTTTGATATAGAATATTTTCATTATCATTCAAGTGAAAATGTATTTTAATTTCCCGATTCGTGGGTCACTTAGGATTATGTTTAACTTTTAAACATAAGAGATTTTCCTGGTTATCTTTTTTTTTCTTTATACTTCAAATATATTGTGGTTAGAAAATAAATTCTGTAATTTTAATCCTTTGAACTTTATTGAGACTTGATTTGTGGCCCAAGATATGGCCAAATTTTATAAATGTTGCCTTTATGTTTGGAAGGAATGTTTTCCATGATAGTAGGATGTTGTGTTTATAATCTGGGGCATCCTCTTATCTTCAGTGTAGATAAAGATACCAGGAGAATAGTCATGATGGTCTCCAGGGTGGATTAGAATGGTATTGAATGGTGAGAAATGTGGGAGATGGGTTTATCTATACTGTTTGTGGTGTGAATACTGTCATAGATGCCGTATTGTGTTAATTTTTGATAGTATACTGTGTTTCCTGGTGTGTTTACAACTTTCTATCTTGAATTCATAATCAGTGAAGGTTTGTTTTCTGAGACTCCAGTGTCCCGGTATCTGGGACCATCCTTAGAATAATCTTTCTCATTTGCCTTTGCTGGATCCCTTGGAAGTTTCATTGCTTCTAGGACACTTTTTAGAGGTTATTTCTCAGCTTGAGGTTTTTTATACCTGAAGTTGTTATAAATGTGGAACCCATATTCACCCATGTGATGAATGAGTTTATTTCTTCGTTTTGTTTCAATTCAAAGCTTTGAAAGTAAGGCGAAGGTTCCTTACTGCTTCCCTTGATGGATGGGTAGAATTTGTCTAGTCTAATTTCATAAACAGGGCCTGGCTTTGTGCCAGGAGTTAGACCTTTTCTTTGACCCCTGTGTTAAATGATAACCACTCCCCCCAACCTTAAGTACCTAAGGGTGTGTAGGGGGGTGTATCAGGCCTCGAGTGTTTTGTTTTTGTTGTTTTCTCTTTTTACACTGCCATGGTATCAGTACCTAGTTTGAATGTCTTCTTTGTGTTTGGAACCTGGAGGATTTCCTTCCTTTTGAGCTTAAATAGGCCTTTTGTCATTGGGTGGTTTTGTTTGTTTGTTTAAGGTTTTTTGGTCCTTTCATCCTATAATCCTATGTATTTTGTCTGTATTTTGTATGTAAGTTCAGTCTGCCATATTTAGAGATATTTTCAAATTCATTTCCATTTTCTTTGAATATTGCTAACAGTCATACAGTGGGACCTGTATATGAAATAGAATAAAATTTTAACATTTAAAAATGATGATGATTGCCACGCTTTTTTCCCCCTTCTTTATCCAGCTCTCCTTCCACGAATTCAGCAGATAACTGAGATCCATTCTGTGCTAGTTGTCATTCTCTGGATATGGGGAAATGTTTCTTACTGTTCTGGAGCTTATATCTTGTGAGGGTGTTTAGTTAATAGACAATAAGTAAGTGAGTAAAATAAATAGAATGTGAAATGGTGTTAAGTGCTATGGAGATGAAGCAAGGGAGTGGGTTAAGGACCACGGGTAGTTTGCAATTATAAATAGTATGGCTAGGAAAGGAAATTTATAACATTCTTTGTAGTTTCAGTGATGGAGAAAGAACAGAATCTTCTAGGATTTAGATAAGGATGAAAATGTAAATACACGTTTTAATCACTGACTCAGCATTAATAGCTACGGCTAATGTCCTGTTTATTGTTCTCTGAATCCTCTTAATGTTTCATGTTCCTCTTCTAGAGGGAGGGTGAAGAACGCTGGCCTATTCTAGTTTATTATTTCCTTTCCACCCTAAATATTTTAAGAAATATAAAAACATTTAACCTTCCAGGAATCTCAAAATGTTTGAATTTACCAACTAACAACTGCTTCTTTTCCCAGCTAGAGTTGTTCACTTTCCAAACCTTGGCTTGGAAAGGGGGGAAGAATCATTTATAAATAGCACTTAGATAATATTGCACATAACTTTTTTTTTATCTTCTGTCCTTTTCCTCAATCCCTTAAACACAAGTAGGGGCAAAACTGGAGCATGTTAAAACCCCAAATTTAGGAATATGTTAGATTAGGACCGTATTTTATAGTGAAAGGTAGTGGGATCAGTAAGAAAGTTACCTAGCTTTCCATTGTTGAACCTCTTCACTTTTAATCATTCATTCATTCTCATCTTTCTTCTTTTACTTAAATATGTATCTCTACACGTAAGAGCTTTATATTTGTATCCAGTCCAAAAGAACATTTAACTTTGTAGTGTGCGAAAAAGGCAAACTGTTTTGAGAGCTTATTCTCAAACTTACTATAAACAATATGTAACAATAAAGAAAAGAATTATGTTCGTTTTTTCAGCTACTTCATTTTATGTGTAATTAAATTTTCCATTTTTTCTTCTTAGGTTTACCCAGGGCTGATGATAACAGCCGGCCTTATCCATTGGATTTTAAATACATTGAACATAACAGTTCACATAAGAGATGTGTGTGTGTTCCTTGCACCCACTTTCAGCGGCCTTACATCTATATCTACTTTCCTGCTTACCAGAGAACTTTGGAACCAAGGAGCGGGACTTTTAGCTGCTTGTTTTATTGCTATTGTACCAGGCTACATTTCTCGGTCAGTAGCTGGATCCTTTGATAACGAAGGCATTGCTATTTTTGCACTTCAGTTCACATATTACCTGTGGGTAAGTAACACAATGTTTTGCGGTCGTTAATACAAATGAACTTTCTGCTGAAATGCTGTTGTACAGCATTCGTCTTTTATCAGTTATAGTTGCATACAGAGAAATCAGTTACTGTTCATAATGCATAAGTCATAGCTCCAATAAGGAGGCTGTCAGAAAATGAAGTATTGATTTTGTTTCTTTTTTGGAGTGGAAGATGAGTCGGAAATACTTAGGACAATTGAAATGTGGTTCAGTGGCTTAGGATTTTGAATTCTGCTTGTGAATCTTGCATTATTTTGCTGTTGCCAGGTTATTTCTTCCTTCCCAATTTTTGTACCTTCTGTTTCCTTTTCTTGACTTACTATATTAGTACTTTGAATACAATGTTGAAAAGGAGTGATGAGAGGGGGCATCCTTGCCTTATTTCTTCTCTTAGTGGGAAAGCTTCGAGTTTCTCACTGTTAAATGTGATGTTAGCTATAGATTTTTTTGGTAGGTAATATTTATCAAGTTGAGAAAGTTCCACCCTATATAGTTTGCTGAGACATTTTATGAATGCATGTTGGATTTTGTCGAATGCTTTTTCTGTATCTATTGGTACACAGTTAACCCTTGAACAACATGAGTTTGAACTGTGCAGGTCCACTTACACATGGATGTTTTTCAGTAAATACATAGTACGGTCCATAGGATCCAAGGCTGGTCGAATCTGCAGGTGTAGAACTGCACATTATGCAGGGCCTACTGTTAAGTTACATGTAGACTTTTGATGGGGGGTGGGTGCCCCAACCCCTGTCTGGTTCAAGGGTCAAATGTAGTTACATGATCTTTTTCCTTTGACCTTTGGATCTGATTAATTTTCAAAAGTTGGACCAATGTTTCTTACTTGGGATAAATCTCATTTGGTCATGTGATACATAATTACAACACTTTGCTGGATTTGATTTCCTGATACCTTATTAAGGATTTTTGCATCTGTGTTAGAGAGATGGTGGTCTGTAGTTCTCTTGTAATGTCTTTGGTTTTGGTATTAGGACAGTGCTGGCCTTGTAGAATGAGTTAGGAAGTACTGCCTCTGCTCCTGTTTTCTGAAAGAGATTGTAGAGAATTGTTCTTTTTTTTTTTTTACTTTTTTTACTGTTTGGTGGAATTCATCAGTGAACCCAGCTTGGTCTGGTGCTTTCTGTTTTGGAAGATTATTAATTATTGATTGATTCTATTTCTTTAGTAGATAGAGGCCTTATTCAGATTGTCTGTTTCTTCTTGTTTGAATGTTGGCAGATTTTATCTTTCAAGGAATTGGTCCATTTCATTTAGGTTATCAAATTTGTGGATAGAGTTTTTCATTGCACTCCTTTATTATCCTTTTCATAAATGTCCATGACATCTGTAGTGATTTCCTTCTTTCATTTCCAGTATTAGTATTTGTGTCTTTTTTTCTTGGTTAGCCTTGGCTAGAGGCTTAACGATTTTTATTGAGCTTTCAAAGAACCAGTTTTTGGTTTCATTGATTTTTCTGTATAAATTTCCTGTTTTTACTTTCATTGATTTCTGCCCTAATTCTTACTTCTTTTCTCCTGCTCCCTTTGCATTTAAATTGCCCTTCTTTTTCTGTTTTCCTAAAGTGGAAACGTCATTGTTTTAAATCTGTCTTTTTCTATTATACGCATTCATTGCTGTAAATTTCCCTGTGAGCACTGCTTTCTGGGCATCCCACTCATTGTGATAAGTTGTGTTTTCATTTTTCAAGTTAACAGTATTGTAAAATTTCTCTTGAGGTTTTTTTATTTGACCGATGTATTTACTTAAATGTATACCCCCCATATTTTTTGAGATTTTGAGATTTTCCAGTTATTTTTCTGTAATTGATATTTATTTGAATTCCATTATGGGCTAAGAGTACACATTTTATGATTTTTATTGTTTTAATTTGTTAAGATGTGTTTAAGGCCCAAGTGTGGCTTATCTTGGTGAATGTTCCCTGTAGGCTTAAGAAGAATATGTATTCTGCTTTTACTGGATGAAGTCATCTTTCGATGTCTGTTACATTCAGTATCCAGTTGATTGATGGTGTTGTTGAGTTCAACTATGTCCTTACTGATTTTCTACGTGCTGGATCCATCCATTTCTGAGAGAGGGGTTTTTAAGTCTCCAGTTACCATAGTGGATTCATCCATTTACCCTTGCAGTTCCGTCAGTTATGTCCTCATGTAGTTTGACGCTCTCTCTTAGGCACATATAATTTAAGGATTGTTATGTCTTTGAGAATTAATTCAGTGTCCTTCTTTATCTCTGAAAATGTTCCTTGCTTTGAAGTTGGCTCTGTCTGAAATTAATATTGCTACTCTTGCATTTTTTTGATTAGTGTTAGCATGATATATTTTTTTTGCCATCTGTTTCAGTCTGTTTGTATCTTCATATGTCAAGTGGGTTTCTTGTAGACAACATAAAGTAGGGTCGTGGTTTTTGATCCACCTTGAAAATTTGTATTTTAATTGGTGCATTTAGACCATTGATGATCAAAGTGATTATTGATTATTAGCTGGATTAATATTTATCATGTGTGTTACTATTTTCTATTTGGCACCCTAATTCTTTATTTTATTTTTGTTCTTTACTCTTTTTCTGCCTTCTGTGGTTCTAATTGAGCATTTTATGTAATTGTCTTCTTGCCGTGTCTGGCGTATCAGTTATTATGCTTTTTTTAAAAAACTATTTTTAGTCATTGCCATAGAGTTTGCAGTGTATGTTTATAGCTAACCCAAGTCCCCGTTCAAAGAATACTATACAGGCATACCTCGTTGTATTGCACTTCACAGATAACTGCACTTCTGCAAATTGAAGGTTTGTGGCTGCCCTGCATCAAGCAAGTCTGTCAGTGCCGTTTATCCAGTAGTATCTGCTCACTTCATGTCTTTGTCACATTTGGTATTTATCACAGTATTTCAAACTTTTAAATGATTGTATTTGCTGTGGTGATCTGTGATCAATGATCTTTGATGTTACTATTGCAAAAAGATAACAACTCCCTAAAGGCTCAGATAATGGTTACGTTTTTTAGTGATAAAGTATGTGTTGTTTTTTCAGACATAGTGTACTCTTAATACACTACAGTTCAGTGTACACGTAACTTTTAGGTACTCTGGGAAACAAACTCGTGTGACTTCCTTTACTGTAATATTCACTTCATTGTAGTGATCTGGAACCAAACCCACAATTTCTGTACCACTTCAAGGATAGTGTGAGTACCTTCTAATAACAAAATAATCCTAATTCTTCCCTCTTATCCCTTATGTCACTACTTCTTTCATTTCACTTATATAGAAGCATATGTAACAGAATACATTGTTGGTTTTATTATTTTCAACAAAGTTACCTGTTAGATCAATTAAGAATAAGAAAACTAAAAGTTGTAAATTTACCTTTACTTACTCTGTCTTCGATGGTCTTCCTTTATGTAGATCTAAGATTCTGATCTATGTTATTTTCCTTTTTGCTAAAGAACTTTTAGCACTTACTACAAGGCAAATCTACTGTCAAACTCCCTCGGTTTTTGTTTGAGAATGTCTTTATTTCTCCTTTAATTTTGAAGGATAATTTCACAGAGCACAAAATTCTAGATTAGTGGGGGTTTTTTTCTCTCAATACTTTAAATATTTCACTCTGTTCTCCTGCTTGCATGATTCTGAGTAGAAGTCCTGCAATTCTTACCCTGATCCTTCTACAGGCAAGCTGTCTTCTCCTCTGGCTTCTTTCAGGATTTTTCTTTATCTTTGATTTTCTGTAGTTTGAAAAAGATATGCCTACGTATAGTTGGCTATTTTGGTGTTTATTGCTTAGTGTTTGAGCTTTCTGCATCTATAGTTTGGTGTGGTGTCTGACTTTATTTGGGGAAATATCAGTCATTATTGTTCTGAATATTCTGTTTCTTTCTCTCCTCTCCTGGTATTTCCATTGCATGTAAGTCACGATTTTTTTCTTGTTCCGCAGTCCTTGGATATTCTATTGTATGTTTTCCAGCCTTTACTCTCTTTGCTTTTGGAGATTTCTGTTGATTCAGCCTGTAATTCAGAGATGCTTCCTCAGCCATGGCCAGTATTAATCAGCACATCAGAGGCTTTCGTAAGATTTTCAGTTCTCTGCTTACATTGCCCGTTTGTCTTGCATGCTTCTTCTTTTTCCATTGGAACCTCTAGCATATTAATCCTAGTTTTAAATTCCTGGTCTGATCATTTCCGCATCCCCACCTTTTGGTATCCCTCGCAGTATTTTCTTCATAGCTAGACATGATACACTAGGTAAAATAAATTGCTGTAAATAACAGCGATAGTAATTGCTAGTAATATGGAGGTACGGTATAGTCCTGTGATTAGGTCTGAGCCTTTTAGGACATTGGACTGTGAACTTTACAAGTGTTTCTTTTTTTCCCTCCCTGTTTTGGTAGGAGAGGCTGGCTAGAGCTGCCTGGAGTTGTGTACTTCCCTTTCTCAGGTCACCTGGGCTCTGCTAACACCCCAGCCCTGCAGCCTAGGCTCTGGTAGATAGTTCCTCCTGAGGGTGGGCCTCGTTGAGAACAGGATGCTTTGGCATTTTCAGAATGGTTCCCGTTCCCTTCCTGTGCCAGAAGCAACAAAGGGATTTCCCCCCCCTGTATTTACTGTGAGAATCTGGTCAAGATCCTGGAGGCAAATTCCACATAGTTGTGGGTGCCTCCACAGGACCAGCCCATCCTGGAGCTTTTAGGTCTCCACACTGAGTTGTCCATGCTGAGCGTCCAGCCATTCCTTCAGGTTCTCCTATCCACCTCCCTGCCCCCAGCTGTCTGCACCATTGACTCCTGCATGCGCGTCACTCCGTTGTTGAGGGCAGCAGTTGTCCTGTGTCATTCCCTCACTTGTAGATCCAGGAGGAGTTGCTGCTTTTTCAAGTCTCTTCAGCTTTTTGCTTATTAGACTGAGTGGTGCCTTACATGTGGAACCAGAAACCAGAAATGTAGAACCAGAAACCAGAATTCTATT